TGCCCAGCTCTGCTCTGGTGTGGGTGCTGCCAGTCATGCTGGGATGCCTGTCAGGGGCTGTGCATGCAGGGTAGCAAAGGGCAGGTGCTCTTGTGCTGTGCTCAGCTCCGGTTCAAAGCACTGCCCTGTGAACCTGGTAAACAATGGAAAACCTCAGTGTCTGGTGGCAGCTGCTGCTCTGTTTGTTTGGGGAGCAATTGCTTAAGTGCATCCAGCCCTTTGCCTGGCTGCTGCCTGCAGGCTTCCTGCTCTGCTTTCCACCCCATCAGCCACGCAGGGCTGGGAGCGATGGTGGCAGAAGGTGGCCTTCGCCTGCCAGCCCCCTCTCCCTCCCCAGTGCTCCTTGCCTGTTGCTCTAAACAGTTGCTAGGAGGAAGCATGGCCGGATGTCAGCAGGGCAGCCCAGGGTGGAAGTGGTGCTCCCAGCCAGGTGTGGCAGCCAAATGCCAATGACTTCCTTGCTTTAAGTGCTGCTGAGTCACAAGCCTGGTGGGGATGTGACAGTGGCACGTGTATCTCCTCCCAGGTACACCCTGCTGTGTGGGAACCCTCCCTTCGAGACCTCTGATCTCAAGGAGACGTACAGGTGTATCAAGCAAGTAGAGTACACCCTCCCTGTCTTCCTCTCCCTGCCCGCCAAGCACCTCATCGCCGGCATCCTCAGACGCAACCCTAAGGACCGCTTCACCCTTGAGGAGATCTTGGACCATGAGTTCTTCAAGGTGAGTGTGTTGGGGTTTGTCCTGACCCTTCTCCAAGTGGAGTGAGGCTTTTCGGGCTGTGTTGTGCTGTCCTTGGAGCCCAAGTCTCAGTCCTTCAAAGGAAGCAGCTGATGTCCTACCCAAATGCCAGCGAGGGGAACTGAGGGATCTGGTGTGCTCCCGCTGCCTTGTCCCTATAGCATGGGTTGTTTCCTGCACTGATGCCATTCCTAGGGCCAAGGCTTGGAGGAAATGCAAGCTGGCTGTCAGGAGGGTTGTGAGTGACTGTGGTCAGCCCAGGGCAGCTGCTCTGCCTGAAGCACGTGGGCTATGGAAACCAAACCTCTGCCTTGACCTCCCTGCAGGGCTACACGCCTGAGAAACTCCCTCCCAGCAGCTGTGTGATGGCTCCAGAGCTGAATCCCCCCAACCCAGCAAAGAGTCTCTTTGCTAAAGTCACCAAGACCCTCTTTGGGAAGAAGAAACCCAAAGGTGAGTCCTGGTGCTAGCCCAGGTGACCTTTCCTCCAGGGAGAAGTGGGTTCTGCCTCCTGGAGAGACCTCCTGATGGGTCTCTGTGGACCCCCTGCCTGAGGCCATCATAAGCTGTGCTTGCCCTCCTGCCTTTCTGGCACCGGTGGCCTGGCATGGGTGTGCGCTTCGAGAGCGGATGCGATGCTGAAACCCATGGGAGCAGTTCCTCCTGGAAGCCCTCCGTTGCATGAGAACTAGGAAGTGAAAGTGGGAGGCAGCTGCCTGATGCTGTGCTCACCACCATGGGCAGATGAGGGAGAGCTGAGCAAATGGGAGGGGTGGCTGTGATGTCCCCATCCCCTGTGCTCATCACTTCCTTTCTCCTCAGCCAAGAAGGGCTCTTTGGAAGACAAGGATGACATCTCCAAGCTGGTCACTGGGCTGATGAAGACCTCAATCTGCCGGCAGATGAGCTATAAAACTGTGGAAGGGAATGAGGTGAGAACACCCCTGAGCCCATGCACACCCTCCTTTTGGGTGGGGGGGAGCAAGTGGAACAGTGATAAAGCCAAGTCTCTCCACAGGCCGCCCCTGTATCATGCCGCAGTGCCAGCTCTAGTCCTGTGGAGACAGTGGTGGAGGAGACATCTCACAAGTCTGCATCCCCTTCCATCCGAGGGACGATGGCCAGCAGCTGTGAGGGTGAGCAATACCTGCCTGGGCCACCCCAGCCTGCCCCAGGCTTCCTGTGCTGCCCTGGCTGATAGTGGGGCTGGCTGACTCAGCCTGTCATCTTCTGCCCGCAGCCTTTGAAGACTGCATCACTACCTCTGCCATCATTGAGTCGGCTGTCCGGCTCCTGCGGACCTGCCTCTCCTCCATGCCCCCAGGTAAACCGGTTGGTCCACTCTGGGATGGGGCAGGGAGCTGTGCATCCCCTTCCCCATGGGATGAAGGCATGGCTGCTATTCGGGTACTGTTAGAGGTGGGCAGGGGTTGTCTTCCTGCTCTGCTCATCCCTTCTCTTTTCCACCAGCGGGGAAAAATCCGGCTTCCCTGGCCCGCCACGAGCACTTTGTCTGGGTGAGCAAGTGGGTGGATTACTCCAACAAGTATGGCTTTGGCTACCAGCTCTCCAACCGTAGCATTGGGGTTCTCTTCAACAATGGCACGCACATGACTCTTTCCCCCAACCACAGGTAAGTGGTGGGGAAGGGGATGGTGTCTCTGGGGAAGCCCCTGCTGTAGGAAGGGGCAAGGGGAGGCAGTGCCAGGGTGGGTTTGGTGCTGGGTGGCCCCAAAGCTCATCATGGTCTACTCCTTCCCAGGACTGTGCATTACAACCCAACCAGCAGCAAACACCTTGTGTTCTCTGTGGCCGCTATCCCTGAGCAGCTGCAGGGGCAGATGAGTGTCTTGCGCTATTTTGCGTCCTACATGGAGCAGCATCTCATGAAGGTGGGTGTGAGTTGTGTGTTGAAGGCTGTGTGTATGCTGGTGACACTGAACCCAGGACACCATGTATGGGACCACTGGCTTAATGAAGATTCTTCTCTCTAAGGGAGGTGACTTGCCCAGCATAGATGACCTTGGGCAGCCAGCCCTGCTCCTCCTGCAGTGGGTGAAGACTGACCAAGCCTTGCTCATGCTCTTCAGCAATGGCACCCTGCAGGTATGTGTGGGGCACAGTGGAGATGCCCAGACCACCATGGGGAGGAGGGGACTTGTGGCATCTGTTAGATCTTGTCTGCCACAGCCCACAGGCACAGTCCAGCTGTGGGTGCAGCGTGCTGCTCCAGTGCCCAAAGCTGCTGGTCACAGCTTGTGCAGCCTGTGAGGGACATGATGCTTCAGTCGGCCACTTGTGTCTGCCCTGATGTTGGGGCTGGCACATTCCTGCCATAGGGCATGGAGCAGGGATGCTCTTGGGCAGGTTGGGGAGGAGGAACGGGTTGAGGCAGGAAGCGTGGCTCCATCCTGGCTCCCGACATGCCGCGGGAAGCATGGGTTAAACCAAGTCCAACCTGTCTCCTAGGTGAACTTCTACAATGACCACACCAAGGTGATCATTAGCAAGCCTGACCACTCCTGCCTTGTCACCTACATCAACCGGGAGCGAAATTCCTACACCTACAAGCTGTGCAGCATCCAGGAGCTGGGCTGCTCTCCTGAGCTCCACCACCGCCTCAGATACATCCTCAAGCTCCTCCAAGAACGTGCTGAAGCCTAGTGTGGGACCTTGGGGGAACCCTTGCTGGACATAAAGGTCTCCCCCTCCCCTCCCATGGGATGGGAGGGATGTTGTGGTGCTGGCTGCCTGCCTGGGCACCCTGTATCCCGGTGCTCAGATGGACTCTGGACTAAAGACTCGTGGATGTGGTTACAGCAGCAGGTCTGGACATCCTTGCTGCTCCCTGGCTCTGGGCAATCTCTGTGTTCTCACTGGTAGCTCCTGCTCTTGTTGTGCTGGTCTTGGTGGGGTGGACTGGGGTGGCACAGGGAGGGAGGTGGTAGGCGAGTGCCCCATGGCCAGCTTCGGGGTTGGCTGTGCCTTGTCTGTACCCTGGTGCTCCAGCCTGCCCTGGCTGATGCCCTAGTTCACTGACCCTCTCTGTGGCCTGGAGAGGACTGGCACAGCCTTGGCCTCGAGGCTTTTGGCTGCTGTGGGGTAGGAAAAACCCCTTCCCAGGGGTGGACAGGGGTGAAGGTTGCTGCCTGCCCTGCCAGGGGCTCTGTGGGCTGGTGTGTGCCACTCCACAACTACACTAAGAAAAGTGGGCCCAACGTGCGCCGTCTGCTCCTAAATTGTGAATTGTCTGGTGCAACCTGATGTTTTGATAAAGGGGATGGGGGGGATGGAATTCAGGGGCTTGCCTGGAGGAGCCCTCATCTTGCTGAGACCCAGGGAAGTTTCTTGTTTCGAGGCAGTCTCTGCCATGTGGGACTATTTATGTATCTTATTTATATGGAATTATTTATTTTCCTGTTGGACTGTCCCTGTGCAGCTCCCCTGTCTTTGACTCGCCTAAATAAAAATCTATTTGTGTAAGGGCAAACTGTGTTTGACTTGCTTGGAGCTTGGGCACCAAAGGGCTTAATCTTCATCCTTGTTCTAAGGCTGTTACTACCTGCCAGGCAGGACCCCTCTTGCTGCTGCTGGGGGACAAGGTCAGGGACGCAGGATGGAGGGCAGGAGCCTGTCTGGTACCTCCACTCTTGCTGTGGATGGTGGGAGGGGCAGAATTAGCTGTTGCTGGCGTCTGTGGAGCTCTGGAGCTGCCTCGGTGTCTCCTTGCTGCTGCCAAAGTCTCATTCTCAACTGCCACTGCACTTGGACCAAACCCACCCGCTCTCGAGGTGTTGCTGAGATGCAGGAGGCAGGGGTTGAAGCCCAGGGGTTGGTGGGTTGCCGGGGTCCCTGCCCTGTGACAGCTCATGTGATGGGATATGAGCTGGGACTGGAGCCAGGAAAAAGGAATTTAATGTGCTCCATGAACTTGTTTCGAAGGTAATTTGTCACCTCCTTCCCCATCAGTGTGTAATCGATCTGCCTGGGAGCGGCTTGTGCTGTGGGAAGCAGCCTGGGCTGTTCCCTGTAGCATTGCCTTGGGCAGACTGCTCCCAGGGTAATGCAGCCCTTTGGGTTGCCTTTGCTGTAGCTTGGGTCTTGTAAACTGGGCTAGTGAAAGCTATGGTGTGGCTGTGAGCCCAGGCTGGGGACTGTAGTGAGCATCAGGGCACTGAGGTGCACCCATCCCTTGATCCTTGCGCACCTCATGAGGAAAGACTGCAGGTATGAGCCAGAGCTGGTGCAAACCTCTTTATTTCAGCAGCACTACAGCACTGAGTGGAGGGAGAGGCAGGTCCTACTCAAAGTAGACCCCATGCACTGTGGCCACAGCAAAGAGGGATGCATTGGAGAAGGTGGTGGAGGCAAAGCTGTCACTCTCGGGGTCCCACAGTGCCTGGCTGGCCACCAGCAGGCTCTGCTGTGCCTGCTGCCCCAACAGCACATGGCAGACCAGCTTGTACCGGGGTGGCACCACGTCCTTTGCTCTGCTCTGCAGCATCTCAACCAGGTTCTGGGCTAGCAGCGCACTGCTCTGTGGTGTGTAGACCATGGTCTCAAGGGCACCTGTCAAGGCTCCCTCCAGCACTTGCTGCACCCGCCCTGCATTGAACTTGCAGCCTTCATCTGGTCCTATCCTGTAAGTGTTCTCCAGGCGGGTCTTGAGGATGGGCTGGAACAGGGGCAACCCAGAAAAGCTCACGCGGCTGTGCAGCATCCAGGGGCCGATGGAGGGGCGCCTGCCCCCCGGGGCTGCCCCCAGCGAGCTGCGGCGGCTGGCCAGGGCTGCTGGCAGGGTGCTGAGGATGGAGCTGCGGCAGGAGAGCAGGAGCGGCGGTTTGCCTTCCTCTGTGCCCCGTGCATGGGGCTGGGACCCACGGCGGGTGGTTCGGAGCGGGTGGACTTCGGTGTTGTCTGCAGCTATCGCCTGGGCTGGCGCAGACACCTCTGCGAAGGGCTGCTCAGCCATCTGGGTGGCCTGGAAAGGGGGGTGTCAGGAGGAGGTAGGTTGTCCCACAGGTTGTTCACCCCATCTCTGCTTTGCCTATCTCTGACCCCTGCAATCCCATGGTAAGGGGCTGGGGGGACCACGGCAGCTGCCTTCCCTTCTCTAGCACCACCCTCCCCAGCAGCAACCACTGACCCACTGCATCCCAGGTCCACCCAGCCCTCAGCTCTCCCATCTCCAGCCTGTCCCCTGGCACAGGGGAGAAGCTCCTTCTGCTCCAGCCTCCCTGTCCCACGCTTACCGCTAGCCCTGCTCCTGCCCTGCAGGGGTAAACCCAGGGGACTTGTTTCCAGCCAATGTTGTGCTCCTGGCTGCCCAGGGACCAACCTTGGCAGGGACAAACCTGTTGTGCTCCTGCAGTGTGTTGCTATGTGATACTGCAGCTCTCCAGGGCTGCTCTGGGGCACGGCTCCTGTAACTCCTTGTTTCCTGGTCTCTGGACAGCTGCAGTCACTCCGGGCATTCCAACGTTGGCTGCTCCCTGCCAGCCCCCAAAAACTGTTTCCCTGTGTTAAATGTGTGAAGGAAGAGCAAGGAGAGGTGGAGAATAGCCACTGTGATTGATGCTTTGCACCCCAGCTATGGGCTGCACCTCCAACAGCTTGATCTTTGCACCGTTTAGGTCCTTTTCTCCCTGTATCAAGGGAGACTATGGGCAGATGGGCACCCACTGAGCAGAGCCCTGGCCCGAGGGCAGGTTTGCTGGGGATTCCCAGCCCTGAGGAGGTTTCTCTCCACTGTCGGAGCCCAGCCCAGCTGGTACACCACCGCCACCCCATCAATGTGCCTTTGTTTGGCTCGGCTGCCAAGCTGTTTGAGGAAAGACGAGATGGCTTTTGTGTTTCTATCTCCCATCAGAGGTATTTACAGCCTGCCGCTGACTAGCGCTGCCAAGCGCTGGCAGCTGGACCCTGCTCCCTCGGGCTGCTGCTGTGGGCCCTGTGCTTCCTTCTGCATTCCACTACCGCTGATAGGCAAAGACGGGTCCCTCTGCAGGCACCCCCATCGTGTTCCTTGGGTCCAGCCAGGCTTGGGAGACAGGGGACTGGGCATCCTCTGGTGCAGTGCCTGAGTGAGGCTGGTTATGCTTTTTTTTTGCCTGTGCTCTCGTGTCCTAAGCAGATAGGAGAGTCGCAGGGCTTTGACCTGAAGCATCAGCAGGAAAGGTTACTTTTGCTGTTTAGGGGCTCGATCTCCCAGTGCAGGGCACTCAGCCATGCCCAGCAGCTTTCCATGGGGGCTGTGCATATAAAGGTGGTGTTGATCTTTGTGCCTTGATCCTGCACATGTTTTGCCTTTCCCAAAAATCCCATCCTCCTGTGTCCCTTCACCCCCATCCGCCCCATCCAGGGGCTTCTCTGCAGCAAAGCCACTGGCTGGGAGGGGACGGGACGACAGGCCCCGGTGCTGGTTCCCTGCTGTGAGCCACATCAGGGTTAGGGTATCGCCACGCGGACCGAGCCATCCGAATCCCGCCCGGCAGACACCCGGATGGTGCTGCCTTGGCAGCAAGGAGCGGGCTTCACCACTCGCCACCCCTTTGTCCCTGCCGCTGCCTCCCCAGCAGCCCTTCCGCTCCGTGCCAGGTTTCCCTAGCAATGGGCCATGGCGCGTAGCGGCCTCCTCCCTGCGGGCTCCCCGGGCCGGCCAGCCCCCCGCCTGCCTCCCTCCTTCCTCCCTTCCTCCGCCCTCCTCCCCAAGGCAGCCCATGGCTGCTCCCTGCTCCGCGCGGTCGCTGCAGGGCGAAGCGGCCGCCTTCACCGCTGCCCTCCGCACCCTGGTCAACAACCCCCAGTTCAGGTGAGGGCTTGCGGGGCTCACCCCCCGCCCCAGCCGTGCCGAAGCCCTCGGCGCTTGCTCCGTGCTGCTTCCCCCGTGCTGCTTCCCCATGGATCTGAGCCTTGCTTGGGGTGGGGGGGTGGTGGGGGTGGTGGTTAGGACCTCCCTTCTGCATGGACCTCCTTTCTGCTCGGCTTTTGCAGGAGCCCGGGGCTGCTGGGTACATTCCGCACCGAGGCAGCCACCACCTCTCCGGAGCAGGGAAGGACCCCAAGCGTGCCCAGATCCTCTGTCCCAGGGAGTGATGCCAGCATGGCAAGGCAATGTTACAGGCAAAATCCCGTGCTGAGGCTTCTGGCCTTGCCAGCAGTAGGGTGCTGCAGTCACCCTGCTCCCCAGGGGCAGCCAGCTATCCATGGCTGGCTCTTCAGTGCTTTCCTTTGATATCTCCAGTCTTCCGGCAGCACTGAAGGCAGGTGGCAGTGCTTGGCATCCCTGCTACCTCCTCCCGCAGCAGTGAGTGGAGATGGAGAGCTGCTGCCTCTGCTACCTGGCACCTACACGGCACGTCCTGCCTGGCAGTGGGCTGGCCCTGTGGTCCTGTGCTGAGGCCTGGCACAAATGTCAGTGCAATCTGAGGAAACCCCTGTCCCTGCTGAAAGTTTTGGCCACCCAGAAGAGAAATTCCAGTGAAAACTCCCCAGCCACAGCACCAGGCAGTGGGGAAGCGGCTGCCAGTGCCTGGTCATCCCCAGCCCACTGCTTGCATCCCACACTTTTCACCCTGCAGCCTTCATTTTACATCCTGCAACCTGAAATCTGTGCTCTGCATCTGTCACCTTTATCCTACATCCTTCCTCCTGTAGCCTGCATCCCACAGCCTTCATTCTTTCTGCATTTTGCAGCCTTCATCCTCTGCCCATCCTGTTGCCTGAACCTCCATCCTGCATCCCACACCTTGCATCCCGTAGCTGCAGCCCGCATCCCACATCTCACAGACTGCTTCCCCTGCTTGTTTTGTGGTTCACAGCCATGGAACAGTTAACTTCACTCCCCTTACAGTAGCAATCACGGAGAGCTTGCCTCATACTGCCCAGTATGCCAGTCCCAATAGACATGTGGGATGACTCAGGTGCCTTTCCCTCTGGTGGACACATCCATCTCCATGTGGGACACCATGAGGTTTGGGCCATGGGTTTGTGCATGGCCAAGTGGCAGCTAGAGTTTGGGTGGCATGTCTTCTGTTGCCCTGCTGGGATGGAGGAAGAGAGGAGGAGAGGATGAATGAGCCATGGCTGCATGGTGCACATAGGCTAGAGAGCCCCTTTTCCTCTCATCTTGCCTCCCATTCCTGGGAAGGTGAACAGTGCTGGGAGGCTATGTGGGACAAGGGCAGCAGGGCGGACCTTGTGCCTCAGAGTGCACCACAGGCCAGTGCCAGCCCTGCTGGCAGCAATGCCAGAGGCTGCACATCCATGAGACCATGACTCAGTTCCTATGAGTCAAGGAGGCTGAGCCCAGTGACAGCCGTGCTTTCTCCTGCTCTGCCGTGCCAAAAGAGAAAGCCACTTTCTCCAGCTGCCCCTGGCCTTTCTCCGCCCTGCTCTGTGCCAGCACTCACGTCTTGCTGTGCTCCATACCTGTCGCTGGCTGTGCTTTCCAGAGGACCTGTCTTGCTCACCCCACCTTTCAGATGGCCATAAGGAGCCACAAGCAAGGGCCCTCTTGTGCCTCTGCTAGGAAAAGCCCACCCAGACAGTCCCTGCCCATGTGCCCTGTCCCAGCTCCCAGGCACCCCATCACTGATGGTCCCCTCTCCGTGCAGTGATGTGACATTCGTGGTGGGCCGGGAGCAGCAGAAGGTGTTTGCACACCGCTGTGTGCTGGCATGCCGCTGCCAGGCTTTCCGGGGGATGCTCAGCCAGGGGCCGGCAGGCAGCGAGGACTCCCCCAGCAGCATCTCACCCCAGGGACCCTTCATCCTGGGCAACGTGCAGCCCGAGGTCTTCCTGGCCGTCATTGAGTTCCTCTACACCAACAGCGTCACCCTCAACAGCCACATTGTGAGTGGGGATGGGGCTGGCAGGGACCATGGGCATGGGAGGGAGAAGGAGGGATGCAGAGGTGGGGGGTGCTTTGAATGTAGAGAGGATGCTCTGTATGACTGTGGCTGGTTAACAGTGCAATGAGTGTGTGGGGCTCAGCCTAGCACAGAGGAGTGTCCAGAGCATCTTGTCCCACATGTGTCTGCCCCAGCCTTGGGGTGTTCTGTGCATCCTGGACGATGGGAATGGAGACAGTAAAGCAGGCCACATTCATATGCCCCTATAGAGCAGCCCTTCCTGTCCCATACCCCACCTGGGAGCTCCCGCAGAGGCAGAAGGACACATGCTCTTGTCCACTGGGCTGCCATGCCTGTTCCTGCACCCGATGTTCACAAGGTCTCTCTTGCCTGCAGGCACTGGAGGTACTGACTTCATCAGTGGAATATGGTCTGCAGGACCTATGCAAGGTACAGCACTGCTTACTCTGGGGTGGTGGTCCCCAAGTGCCCCCATGCTGAGGAGCACTCCAAGATGGTCCCTGCGTGGCTGGAGGTGGTTCTGAGGATGGATCACCGTGGTCCAATGCAGGCTCAGCCCCTGCTTCTCAATTCCAGAGTGTCTCTTCAGTGGGATCCCCCTTGAGGGGATGCTGCACCAACCAGGAGTCCTGCAGGGGCCGGGGAATCCCTGGGAAGCTTATGGGAGTCTCATATCCTGCAGGAAAGCCCCGATGCTATCACCCACGGGTGTCCCGTGGTCAGCTGGCTGGATGATGCTGTAGGGAAAGCCCCATTGCTGGAGAGTGCTCAGCAGTGGCGCTGCCAGGGGGATGCTGCTCAGGAGAGAAGGTTTTGGGAAGGCAGCAGGGAGCAAACAGGAGGGATGGGAGACGGATGAGGGGAAGGAGCTGGAGCAGCTTGGCGTTGGGGCGGGCGGCTGGGCCACGTCATCAGGATGATTCCTGGATTACGGCTGTGCTGATCGTGTGACCCGCCATCTCACACCCGGACTTCCCCTCTCTTCCCACCCTGCCGAGGAGCTGAGCCACCATGGGCTGCTGTGTGCTGCAGTGGTGTGGTGGGACGAGTCCTGCCCCGTCACCCCATGAGGACAAGCACAGCCCAGATGTGGCACAGGGCTGTCAAACAGCTGGTTGGAGGGACATAAGGGGTGTTGCAGGAAAGGGGGATGCGGTGCCCCAGACACGTGAATCCGGGTGGGATATCCTGCAGTGAGCCATAGAGGAGGGGGGAAGGAAAGGGGCTGACCAAGGGAAACCCCTGACTGTGTCTGCAGCTGCAGGGTGACCTCATGTCCCTGTTGCCAATGACTCAGGGCCCTTCTGCTCCAGCTGAAGGTTCCTCCCTGCATGTCACATCCCCTTTGGTTTCCTAGGGGCTCTGACCCCTTAGGGTTGGTGGTACGACAGACAGATAGCTGTTGCAATGCCATGTACTGCTCAGCGGGATTTTCCCTGAAGATGCACACAGCAGATGCTATTTAGAAGGGACAGGATCTTGAATGTGATGGTTGCTTTTTTTAATGTGTGAATGATTGCACATCTTTTTTTTTCTATTTTGGGTGCTTATTATAAATATAACTTTGCATTCGTTAGTTTCTTTATAATATCTTACCCAGAACAGTCAGGTGAAGGGAAACTGAAATACAGGCAGAGAGCGGGGCTGGGCAAAGCTGACATCACCCAGCCAGAACCAGGGCTGTCCCTCATGGCAGGACACAGATGGGGACAGTGGCCAGGGTTAGGTGGCCCGCCTCGGGCTATGAGGTTGGCTGCGGTTTGGTGGCATCAGTCTCAGCCTATGGCTGAATCAGTGCCCAGGCTGGCTGCCCACAGGCTGTGCTGTGAGTCCTCATCCCACAGCCCACCACTGCCTGGGGGGCTGGAGGTGCCATCCCCGCATGTCTCCTGTCCCGTGTCCTGGGAGCTATGGGGAGGCTGAGAGTCGAGGAGAGGGGTGGCAGGGCTGGGCCTCTGCTCTTTCTATTCTCTCCCCATTTACCTTCCAGCTCTGCATCAAATTCATCAAGGACACTCTGAGTGTGGAGCAGGTCTGCGAGGCTCTGCAGGTGAGTGTGACACCAGTGGGGTCACAGAGGGTTGAAAACAACCCGTTCTGTTTTGGGACAGGCATTGGCCTGACCTTCCTGCTCTTGGCTGGATGGTGGGGCAGGATTTCCTACCCTGGCACATCGTACCAGGGCTGCAAGGGCCACCAGGGCCACCATGGCCTGGCAAGGGAATGTTCTCATGCTGCCCTAAACAGAGCTGGCCAGAGCTCCCCAGTGCCATGGCCTTGCCATCATATGTATGAAACTGGAATGCACTGGGTTTCCGTGAGTTCTCATGGTTTTGAGGCCAGCCCCAAAACCCTGCTGAGATTTAGGGCATCTAAAAATAGCCTTTTAGGCAGGTCCCAATGGCCCTGCCATGCTGCTTGGTGAGACCAAAGCTGCTCCCCAGGGTAAGGGGATTTGTTCCATCACCCACAAGACAAAGTGATGCTCTTATGGTGAGATGCTGGCCCCAGAGCACAGAAGCTCCTACCAGATGTGGTGCCAGACCACCCTGACATAAACAGAGCCAAAACTGACCTGGAGGAAACAAACAGAAAACCCCAAAACCCCAGAACAAAACAAACCTGAAGAAAACATCTTCCATTCCTTCCCAGCTTGTGTCAGTCCCAGTCCCATGCCATGGTGGAGGGGGAGGCGATGCTCCCCCTGCCTGTGCTGGTCCCATGTACCCTGCATGCAGGGGCTGCCATTGGGACCAGCATTGCTGGGTAGGGCTGGGGGCATATAAGGGCACCCCAAATTCCTGCTGCAGAGGGATGATGGTATCTGTGGGGCAGGCTGGGGCTGATACCAGGGCATGGGGCATATATGGGGGGTCTAAGCTGACCCTGTGCCCACACAAGGAGCACTGGAGACATGTGGCCCCATGTCCTTGCAGTGTGACCTCCTGATAGCAATGCTGGGGCTCCTTGCCCACTAGGGCTGGGTGATGTCCCTGAGCAGCAGTGGAAAGTCAGGTGCTTCCTGCTGACAGCAGGGCTGTCAGGTGATGAGGCCACCAAACTCTTTGCTCTGGGGCAGGCCAGGAAAGCAGGGACCTTGGTGCCCTTTCCCCCCACATCTGCACTATGGTGTCCCCACACATGGATGCTCAGCCCACCCTGGTCCTTAAGAGGTCTCATGTCTCAGCAGGGCTTTGGTGGGAGGTCCCTCCTGCCCCAGACCCTATTGCAAGTGTCTGTGTTGTCCCACAGGCTGCAGTGACCTATGGGCAGACAGACCTCCAGCAGCACTGCCTGGCCTTCATCGAGGGCTGCACTGCGGTACGGCTGCAGGCATGGGGGAGCATGACATGGGGTACCCCAGGGCATGGGGAGCACTGGGGGGCATGGGGAACACTGGGGCACACAGCATGGAGTAAGTCCAGAGGTGGCCACAAGGATGATCAGGGGCTTGAGCACCTGTGGTATGAAGACAGGCTGAGAAAGTTTGGGCTGTTCAGCCTGGAGAAGAGAAGGCTGCGTGGAGACCTCATAGCAGCCTTCCAGTATCTCAGGGGGGCCTATGGGGATGCTGGGGAGGGACTCTTCATTAGGGACTGTAGTGATAGGACAAGGGGTAACGGGTTAAAACTTAAACAGGGGAAGTTCAGGTTAGATATAAGGAAGAAGTTCTTTACTGTGAGGGTGGCGAGGCACTGGAATGGGTTGCCCAGGGAGGTTGTGAATGCTCCATCCCTGGCAGTGTTCAAGGCCAGGTTGGACAGAGCCTCGGATTACACAGTTTAGTGTGAGGTGTCCCTGCCCATGGCAGGGGGTTGGAACTGGATGATCTTAAGGCCCTTTCCGACCCAAGCCATTCTGTGATTCTATAAGGCAGGAATGCAGGGACCCTAAGAATGGGTTGACTGGAGGTTGGACAGGAGAGGAAAAGGAGCAAATGGTGTTCAGGGAGATGATGGGTGCCAGGAAAAGGCTGGATGGAGGGTGTCTGTTTGAGGAAGTGCTGGGGTGTGAAACAGGGATGCACCAGGATGGGCTTGATGGCTCAGGGAGAGGGATGTGTGTGGGGTCCCTGTACCAGCACCCCAGCACTGCACTGTGCTGGCAGGCAGTGGTGCGGACACAGGGCTTCCACGAGCTCTCTGATGTGGTGCTGGCGCGGGTGCTGCGCAGTGACCGCCTGGCCGTGGACGAGCTGGACCTGGTGCAGGCTGTGCGGGAGTGGGCGCACGTCAGCTCGGTGAGTGCAATGCATGGCCACGGTGCGGTGGTCATGGATGGTGTTCCGCATCAGGCAGATCCACCCAGAGGTGCCCAAGACATCACCAACCCCATCCCTTACATTCTGCTGTCTCGCAGGCTGTCCTGGAGCGCCCCGTGCCTGAGGTGGCTGCCCTGCCTGTGCAGGAGCTGCGCCTGCCCCTGCTGGCACCCAGTGAGCTGGCAACGCTGGAGAGACAAAACCAGCGGGATCTGCTCATCCCGGTGAGCCTCTGCCTCCTCCCATGGTGTCCTGGCTCACCTCAGCAGCTGGAGGATGCTGTAGGGTTGGGTTTGAGGGGGGACCACGCTGTGGCCGTGCTGATGCCACCATCCCCGTCCCCATCCCCATAGGCAGAGAGCATCGCGGCAGCCTGGCGGTCCCATGCCCTGAAGAAGGGCAGTGGGGTGCCCTCGCACCTCTGCCAGCCCCGGCGCGGCACGCGGCCCCGCGACCACCACCGTCACCTGGACCCACACGCCAAGTAGGGGCTTGGGCAGCAGCAGTGCCCCCCAGGACAGCGGGGCAGGGTGCGGGGCTGGGCACTGCCAGAGGTGCCACCGTGGCCAAGAGCGTCCATAAAGCTCTTTGTCTCATGCCACAGCTCCAGGGTCAGGGCAGGATTCCTGGTTCACCCCAAGAAGTGGTGCAGGGAATGGGGGCTTGGACCTGCGCTATGCGGTGGGTGTGAGGACCCCCATACACCCCAGTGACGCAGGGGTAGGGGGCGGGGCTGCAGGAAGGGGTCCCTTGTGGGATGGGGATACAGGGTGAGCCCCCCCTTTCCCCAGCCCCATGCTGCCCCCAACCGGGCTCTGCGCTGGGCCCTTCCCCGGGGCCGTGCTGCCCCCCTGCGGCAGCGGGACTGAGCTGCAGCGGGCAGCGAGCACCGCGGCAGGGCTACATCCCCTCCACGCACCGGTGGGGAAGGGACTGAACGAGATGGGGAACCTGGGGCTTAAGAGTGCGGGGAGACCCCCGGCATCTCTGCACCTACCCAGCACCAACACCAGTGACCCCCTCCCCAAGCCCTGCCAGCATCCCCGGCTCCTTATAGCCCTGGACACACGCACCACACTGCCAGCCCCCCATGTGCCACACACATCCCCCTCCACACAGCCTGTACCCCCACTGCGCACCCCATTGCATGTGCACACACAGCTGGATCTGTCTCAAGCATCCTCCCTTCCCCCAGCTATGCCCCCCAGGATAAAGGGCCGGACACAGCAGGTAATTTATATATAATATATATATTTACTCTTTAAAAATAAACCTTCGGTCCCCACTACCGCCTGTACAAACTACAAAAATAAACCTTTGCTCTCTTTGATATAAATAACTTAGATGGCGTGTTGGGGAAGGGGGGGGGGGCTGCCCGCCGTGCCCACGCCTGGCACGGGGACAGGGTCCCAAGGGCCACCCCAGTGTCTGGGGCTGGGGGGGGGGACCAGGGCCATGGGCACGGCAAACACCGCTGGAGTTAAAGTGCTGGGTAACGGCATGGACAGTGCCCGGGATAGGGATGGGGATGGGGATGGGGACAAGGACTGGCATTCGGGGACAGCCCCATGGCATGGGAACATGGTGAGAAATGCGCTTTCCAGTGGGATGTGCCCGGTGGCAGTGTGGGCACCCATGGGAGTGTGCACTGCCCTGTGTGTGGCACAAGGGGCTGTGACTGTGGGACAGCTCATGGGCTTGGCACAGCAAGGATCACCCTCAAGGACACCCCCCCAAAACCCCTGCCTGTGCAGTGGGAGCAACCACATCAGGCACATTCCCCGATCTCCATCCCTCCTGTGATCGCTGGTGGGGAAACTGAGGCACGGAGCAGCGAGAATCAGAGGAGGGGAGAGCTGCCTGTGGCCACCCAGCACCCCATGGAGCTGGGGGGCATGAACCAGGTCTGTGCCCCAGCTCCGGGCTCCCACTGCACTGGCAAAGGGTGTCCCCCCTTTCTGCCTGGGCTGGGCAGCCGGGCGAGGCCATAGGCTGAGAAATAAATCTTTAAAAATAAGCTTAAAAATATATATCTCTCTATAGATAGTTTCCCTTTGCAATAAATAAAGGTGGGGGGGTGCTCACCCCAGGCCTTGCCCACAGCACCCCAGGGCATCAGAGCACCCTGTTGGGGCACCCCAGCTTGTGGCCTGGGTGAGGGGTCCCAGGAGGAGGTGACAGGGAGCAGGCAGTGACCCCACAGGGGGGGAGCTGGCAGGCCATGGAGCCTGCCCTGCCAGCAGCTCCAGAAACAGAGTGGGGGGGGGTTAGTGCTTCCATTTCGGGGGGGGGGGGGGGGGTGGGGGGCAAACAGCCCGGGGCATAGTAACCCCAAACCCTGGGTGAGGGGATGCGGCACCATTGGCACAGCCCCGGGTTGGGGACACACAGGCACAGCATGGCCTGCACACAGCTTGCATAGAAGTGCCAGCCTGCCCTGCTGACCCCCTTTGCTGGGGGGGGCACGGTCCTCCGAGACCGGGGGCATCGCCACACCGGTGATTAGCAGCACGATGCGGGCGACCCCGCTCTGCACCCTCCTGGGCCTGGGGAGCAACCTGTGGGGAGAGAGAATGATGGGGGTCAGACAGGTCCCTCCAATCCCACGCTGCATCCCCATGCATGAACCTAGAGTAGGGTGCCCATGTCCCCAGCTCACCTAGCGCCGGGCGCCCACCCCGTGGCATCCCATGCTCTGCATCTCAAAGGTGTCGGGCATGGTGGTGCTGCTGGTGCTGGGCACGCTGGGCTCTTCCAGGCAGTCCCGCTCGCTGCTGGTGAAGCCCTCAGGGATGAAGCTGGGGTAGGAGCCGGGCAGCGTGGGGTGCAGGGCCACTGTCACCGAAGCGGTGGCTGTGACGGTGGTGTAGGTGCCGGCAGGGCCCTGCAGATGGGTGCTGTAGGCAGGCAGGGCTCCGGGGGGCACTGGCTGGGCACCCGGCGGGCAGGGCTGTGGGTGCTCTCGGGGTGGAATAGAGCACGGCTCCCTGAAGGACAACGGGGGTGCTGGCTGCTGGCCGGGAGCCTCCTTCTTTCCCTGGATTTCTGGGCTGTCCTTATAGGGCTTCAGCACCTGGATGGGAGGACATGGAGCATGAGGACCCCCAGCCACGCTGAGCATCCCTCTGGCAACCCCACCAGCACTACCGGGGATCCATGAGACCCCATCCCCTGGCTCTGTCCATGACCCTCTCCCAGGGAGATGGTAATGCCATTGAGGGCAAAGGTACTTACAGTGATGCGGGGGAAGCTGGGGTCCTTGCCGGCCTCCAGCAGGATGTGTGCTGGCGTTGGGGGCACAATGAAAGGCCCCCGTGGGCTCCCCGGCCCCATGGCCTCTGTGTAGTGCTCCGTGTCTGAGGGGTCAGGGAAGGTGGCAGGCCAGGCTGGGGCACGGCGGACATAAAGACCCCCAGGGCCCAGGCATGGGGGCACCGGCTCTGACGGGGGCAGGCGGGGGCTGTTATCCACCAGGGATGCCTAGGGGGAGAGAGGATGGAGTCAGAGGGACAAGGAATATACAGGGATGGAGGGCTGTGGGGTGGCAGGGATAGGGGGTAAGGGATGTGTAGAGTGATAGAAATACAGGGTGAAGCAAGGATGGGTTCAAATGGGTCAGGGAGGGATAGGAGGAGTTGAGTGTGGGGTGAGGCAGGAATGGGATCAAGCAGAAATGAGCCAAGTTGGATGTGGGGCAAGGAAAGGATGGGATAAAGCAAGGATGGTACAGGGTGAGGGATGGGCTCAGGTGGCGACAAGGCGAGGTTGGGACAGGGCAAGGATGGGTATAGGGTGAAGGGGGGACAGGGTAAAGGGTGGTAGGGGATGAAGAGAGGTGGGTGGGGAGGAGGGACAGGTAGGGGTGGGATGGGGCATTGTACCTCAGGGGGTGGCCCGATGACAGAGAGCACGACTGGCAGCAGCACCAGCCCGTTGAGCAGCCCCAGCAGTGTCAGGATGGTGAGCACCGCAAAGAAGTACCTGGGGAGGGAGCAAAGGCAGAGGGAATAAGTGGGCACAGCCACCACGAACCCCATGCCACCACAAACACAGCTTCCTATACCACACCCCGTAACCTCCCAATGTCTCCCCAGCCTCCATTTAAGATGGGGTAGGTACCCCCAGCAAGACACATCGGCACCAGCTGCCCCATATCCCCACCACCAGCCAGGGGGCTGCCACGCTCACCAGCCTCCGCTGCCAAAGCTTTTGGCAGGCAGCAAGTAAGGGGTTGGTTTAATCCCCGCTGGCACTCACCTCATGATGAAGTCAAACTCGGAGCCAGCCAACATAAGGACACCCAGGAGGGTGGAGACAGCTCCATCCATCACAGGGGCGAAGGTGTGCTCCAGCGCTGCAGCTGAGCGCACGTTCCTGCTCCCCACAGCCGTCAGGAAGCCCTGCATGGGATGGGGATGTCACGCAGGGCTCGTTCCCATGTGCCACACGTGATGTGGCCCCCCATCAGCGCATGGGCAAGGGGTGAGAGTGCCAGAGAGTGAGAACTGGGCAGGGGTCTGCTTGTGCTCACCAGCGCCACATGGACGGTGAACTCCACACCAATGCCCACCGAGGCGATGAGGATGACCACGGGGATGGCGCTCAGCTTGATGCCCATAAGGCCCATGATGCCAAACAGCTCCACTGCCATCATGGCCAGGATGGAGACCTGGGAGGGGGTGGTGGGGTCAGTAAGGGGTGGCTCTGACTGGCTGTCCCTTTTGCTCCCAACATACCCAATCCTACCCCTCCCAACAGGGCACCTTCATCCTGCTGCCCCCTTTCCCTTTATTCAGTGTCCCTCACCCATCTCTGCATGGATTTCCCCAAACTCCTGCCTACTACACACATTCCTTTCATAAAGGGTGCCCCTGGTCCCTCCATATAAGGCCTCCACTCACCACCACGTCCATATGGGTGTTTCCCTCACCCTCTTCTGCACTGATGTCCCCAGACCCCTGTACCCACCACATGTTCTCTTCATCATTGAAGTCCCTGATCCCTCCACATGGGTGCCCCTTTCACATAGGGTGTGCATGTCCACCCCATCCCCATGAAGCAGGTCCGCAGTGCCACCCAGGGGGATAGCAGCAGGCCTGGATGTCCCTGTCCCTGCCATCAGGAGGGCAGCATGGCCGGTCACCCCTGTCCCCACGCATCAGGGTGCGTACTCACGATGATGCCAGCCGTCCAGGGGTTGAGCAGCAGCAGGGCGCAGACGAGGAAGGTGCAGGCCAGCAGGATGCTGATGGCCAGCAGGAACCAGTGGCGCAGGCCGATGTACTGCTCCCAGAAGAGGAAGGGGTACCCGCTGGGGTAGCTCAGCACCCCGTGGCGCTGGGCAGCCTCTCGGCAGATGGCACGGACACTCTCAATCGCCTCCACAAAGTCGGCCGTGCGACGCAGCCCGCTCAGGTAGAAGGGGAACTGTGCGAACTCCAGTGGCTGGGCTGCAGGGACTGGGGAGGAGAGCACGAGCAGTGTGAGGGGATGGGCAGCATGGGAGTGCAGGCAGCATGGGGCACCCAACTGCTGCAGCCTGAATGCAGCCTGACGCCTGGCTGGGTACCACAGGGCTGAGGAGCGTGTGCAGAGCAGACTGGGAGCAAGGACAAGGGTGTTTCTCTGCCAGCAGGATGCATCTGAGTTAGTGGGTCATGGGGAGCAAGGGGTTTCTCTACAGGACAATGTTTGTGGGGCAGAGTGGAGGGGCTTCTTTGCAGTG